TTACAGGCATGAGCCATGAGGGCCTGGCTCGTTGGTTGGGTTTTAAACAAAGCAAAAAGGGAATATAGAGAAAAGAATGTTAAATTCACTTGGAGACTTCTTATACTTCACAAATGACAGATTTAAAACATTGGTTGCTGCTGGTAGGATATTCATACTTTTGACACTGAGTAAAACAGTAAAACAAGAGGAGTCAAAAATGTCAAAACCTAGCCAGATACGTGCCAATGGACTGATTGCTTCAGAAACTAAAGATGTTTTTCTACCTCAAGAGGTTGACAAGAGGTGAAGCAAATGTTAGCTCTGGAAGTTTAGTCTGGTGGAGACTTCCATACAAGATAGTCTACAGAGGAGGCCAGGCAAGTGGATGGAGGGAGCAGGTGTTTAAGAGCAGGAGCAGGAAAGAAGCATAGCTTTCCTTATCAACCTTAGTATACTTCAGTTTTGTACAAAGTGCATGTAGAACAATCTCAGTTATTAAATAATTAATGCTGATGTTTAGGTAGTTGTTTGAAAGAGTTCACTTCCATAAGTCAAGTTAGACTATGAGTATAACATATCTTCATCAATGTTATCCCTTCCATTGTTCTGTCAAGTTCTCTGGTTCCATTTTCACACATGCACATTGAATATTATGACTCTATTCTCCTATCTTGCCTCTCTCGATTCATCTGCCCTCCCTCCCTTGATTTCCCCCGACTCCCAACATGTTTCAGCTTCCTGATCTTTATTTTTGTTAGTAGTTATTTGAAGGAGTTACATCAGTACAATCTTCCTCTGTGTATATCATATGTGAGTCAGTGTTTGTGCATTGTACACAAACCCGTGTATGTTTTCATACATGTTGATAATTTAGATCTAGCTTCCAGACATGAGAGAAAACAGGTATCCTTCATCCCTCTGAGTTTAGATTACTTCACTTAATATAATTTTTCCAGGTCTATCAATTTCCTTGCAAATGACATAACATTATTCTTCTTGAGGGATGACTAAAATTTCATTGTCAGTCAGTCAGTCACTCAGTCTGTCTGTCACATGTATTTTCATGAGCACCTAGGCTATTCCTGTAATTTGGCTATAGTGAGTAGTGTCACAATAAACATAGGTATACAAATGCATTTACTGTATCCTGACTTGCAATCCAGTATTGCTGGATTATAAGGTTTAGATTTTTGAGCCATTTCCAAGCTGCCTTTCACAGTGGTTCACTAGTTTCATTCCTGCCAACAGTGGGTTTGCTGAGCCCCTGGAACTGTATTCAGGACATTTCTGCTTATGCCAATAAATTCTAATGTTTCTCCTACTCCTTTCTGTAGTAATTTCAAGCTTTCAGGGCTTATCTTAAGATCTTTGATTTATTTTGAATAGATATTAGCAGAAAGTGACAGGTAGGGATCCAGTTTCAGTTGTCTGCATGTGGAAATTCAGTTTTCTAATACTATTTGTTGAAGAGGTTATCTTTTTGCCCAATGTATATTTTTGGCTTCCTTGCCAAATATCAAAAGGCTGTAGGCATATGGGTTCATTTCTGGGTCTTCTAGTCTGTGCCATTAATCTTCAGGTCTATTTATTGTGCCAGTATGAACACAGGGGTGCCTACATAGTTCTTAGCTTTAACTAGCAGTGAGTTGGCAAAGAAATTATCTACTTGCTGTTTTTGGGTCAGTGATCTGAGTAGCTTCCAGATGAATTCTCTATAGTTTGCTTAACTATCTCCCAGACAAATCAATTGGAGGCAATGGAAGGAAAAGCAGATTCAGAATTATCTCTTGACCTATAATATCCATATAACCATACTGCAATGGAATCTAGATTCTCTTCTTTATAAATAAAATTCTTAGGGCTGGGAATATAGCTTACTATGGTCTAGCAGAATGTTCTAGGTTCTATTTACAGAACCACAAAAAATAAAACAATATAAAGAAAGATATATAATATGTAAACAGTATAGCATAATAATCGAATAAGCACCCCCAGGCCAGCTTCCAAATTAGGGAACAGATTATTACTAAAAGCTTTGAAAACTCTTTTTCTGATATATGAACAACTGCATGTATTGACTGACTGATTATAACATTGGTCAAGTCTTTGTTTCTTAATCTGCAAGTGGCTGTACAAGGTGGTTACAATTTAACATGTCCAATTTCTGTGCCCACTGCTTCTTAATCAGAGTCATCCCTTCCATCATTTCCCTGGGTCATATCAAGTTTTCCATTTCCTTTATCACATATTTACACTGAGTGTTATGACTGTATTTGTCCCTGTTCCCTGCTCTATTCATCTATCTCTTCCCACTAGATCCCCTTCCACGGTTCTTTCATTTTGTTTTTGCCAAAATATATTTTAAATTATCACCATTTTGATTGCTATTAACTCCTTTAACTTTGGTAAACCGTTACTATTTAGCATACCATTTTTAACAATATCACTTTGTAATATCTACCTATATCAATCAATCAATCTATCTATCTATCTATCTATCTATCTATCTATCTATCTATCTATCTATCTATCTATCTATCTATCTATCTATCTATCTAGAGTAGTGTGCCTGTACTGAACTTAGGGTCTGGGAGATGTCCTTGAGCTTTTGTGCTTCAGCTAGCACTCTACCATTTGAACCACAGCCCAACTACCTTTTTGCTGATTGGTTGGAGATAAATGTCTCACAAACTTTCTTACCCAGGCTGGCTTTGAACCACCTTCCTCAAAATCTCACCCTCTTGACTAGCTAGAATAGCAGGCATGAACCACTAGCATTTGACTTGTTTTGTAAATTTTTGAACCTTACACAAAGAAAATAAAAAGGCTTCTTGTCAGTCTGCAAGCTGTCAATTTGACCAAGGATCTTCTATCCAGGTTTATAGCTACTGCATGGTTTTTATGGCTTGCAGTATTTGTTTGTATTAATAGACTCTTACTTTATTTTCTTAATTTCTTTTTCCTTTTCTTTGGATATTGATTTATTTTTCTACAATGCCAGTATTATTATTTATGTTCATAATTCCCAATATCTATGCTTAAGAATTTCTCTAGGATAGATGTTATATAATTGACTTGCTCAGTGCAAAGGTGGGTTCAATTTCAGTTTACTGTCTAGCATGAAATCATACCCCAAGTGCACTAAGTCCAATCTCACCTTACCAATATTTAGTATCAACTTTACTCATTTATTAGTTCATTCATTCATTTATTCAATTACTTATCCATGTGCTAATTGCCAACTCTGTGGGTGTAAAATACTGTTTCTTCCTGGTTTTACTTTTCATTTTCTCCATGTCTGATAATTTATATATGTCTGCTAAGAAAAGCTAGGTCTGATATGCTAACAATCTCTTTCTCTGTATACATGCATATGTGGAAGTGTGTGTGTGTATGTGTGTGTGTGAGTGAGTGAGTGTATTTACACATATGCCCATCACTCTTGTCAGCTGCTGTTGTTTTGTTTGTTTTACAGTAGTGCATATTGAATTCAGAGTCATGTACTTAGGCTTTCTACCAGTTGACCCACTCCCCAATGCCTGTAATTTTAGCTTGTTTTTCATGGGGTATCATAGTAAGTTTGCCTAGTTGGCCCAGAACTGTGATCCTACTATCCCTACCTCTTGAATATCTGGAACCACAAATGTGCAATTACCATGCCCAGTTCTCCTCATTTTTGTATTTAGCATCTACCTTACAGATTTCATTGTGTCTGGAGTGCTGAGATTACAGGTATTACCTCATACCTGGCATACATCCATATATGCATACATCTGTATATATATATATATATATATACATATATGTATGTATATTTGGGAGGTATTTTAATGCATGACAATCTTCATTTACAATGTCTTTGGTGAAAAAGAGTAAAATTATTTAAGCTTTGCCCAATTTCTTTCAGTGAAAAGGACTTACTTCTGCTTTATTCATAGTTATTTGTTACTTTTGTTGTAATAAATATGATATCTTTGTATTTAACTGTTCATTTCTTATTTATAGACTGAAAATGGATTTGAATATTAACCTTTCAGCAGAAAGTTATATATAAGACATAGCAATTTTGCTGGGAATGGACCCCAAATAGGGATGACCCAGAAGTAAGGACCAGAGAAAAATAGAGCACACAAGGCAGGATCACATAGAGAAAAGAGAAGGTGACACTTGGAATCTTTGATACTGACAGCATCTGGGAGTTACTTGGCCCAGAGAGCTTCAGAGGAGCTAGCGAAAGGAAGAAGAGACAGTGTGGTGGTGGGAGAGGGACATTGGCCATAGAGAGTTGTTATTAATTAGGCTTCATTTGACAGATATTTCTCTTTCTCATAGAAAAGAATTTGATAAGCATAGAAACCTAGACAAGAATCTGGCTAAGTCAAACCTATACCAGGTCACAGGTCCCTATGAAAACCTTAAAAAGTTGATGAAAAGAAATGTAGTACAAATATAACCCTCTATTCAGGTTACTAAGTAGTGGAATCAGATTTCTGTAGGCATGGACTTTCAGAAGTAGTGGTACATATTAATGAGCATAGCTAAGAGCTAACTAGAGCTGTTGTGGCAGTTTCTAAACAAGACACATCCACTCCTGGTCCTTGCTACCTACAGTTTTTTCACTTGAGCTTTGATGGACTTGGTTTTCCTCTCGGAGCAGCCATGAGGGGGCAATTCTCTCTGCTTCTCTTCTTTCCTTTTCCCACATTCTCTAACATTTTGTGTCTGTTTAAAATATTATTTTTTTTAAAAATGGTCTTGATCTCTTCTTTGTTGTTGTGATTAAGTACCGAGAAAGGAAGTATCATAAATAGAAAAGGCCAGCATATGGAATAGTTTAAGAGTTCTGTAAGGGCCAATGAGTGAGCAGCCACAGAAGGGAACATTCCAGCTGCCTCTTGCTGCTGCTTCTATTCTGATTCCCTGTAGATCAGATAGAGGAGACCAGCAGGGGATGGCCATATGCAACCATTTGCTTTTTTCTTGCCTGTAGTAAAGTTCACATTTGATTGCTTTTCCAGATTATGTAGATCCAGACATATTTTATGCAGTCATCCGGATCTTTCTCTCTGGGTAAGTATAGTTCACTTGTTTTCCTCCGTGTGGCTTCTGTAGTATTTCCCAGAAGACAAGCAGAACCTTTCCGAATAAGAAGCATACAAAGTAAGCCTTGCTGGCAGAACTCTCATTAGGATCCACTTTTGGATAAAAGAAGGGGCACCATCTGCATGACAAATGACATTAAGAGCTGGATATTTAAGTTCAGAGGGATTGTCATCAAAGCATTAAATTAGATCCATTTGTATGTGTTCTTAGAATCCTACCTTGACAGCTGGGGAATAAGGATGGCATGCCACCCACAGAGCTCTATCTGGGCAGATGGAGGGGTAGGCAGCAGCTTAAGTGTTTTAAAAGTTTTCAGAGAAGCCTGCATCTTTTTCAAAATCCTTATGTTAAAATTTTACCACCTAGGTGATAGTATTGGAAGGAGGAGCCCCTCCCTTGTGAAAGGTGTTGATGTTCTCATTAAAGGGCTGGAAAAGGCTGAGAATATGGCTCAGAGGTAGAATATGAGACTCTGGGTTGAAAAAACCCCAAAGCTGTCTGGAGATTGGGGTGGGGTGGGCCAGATGAATAGAAGGAGGAAAGGTTTACACTGTGTAAAAGTTGAATACATAACTTGAGAACATGACTAGGATTGGGAAAGATGGAGAAGAAAGATGGAAGAGGTAACATTGATCAAGATGCATTGTACTCATAACCTCTCTTGTATAATTGAAACGCCTTTGTATAAGTATTTAAAAAAAAAAACAAAACTAGAGAAAAATAGCTGTCCTTTCCCCTTTTAAATTTGTTCATGTTCCTTCTATCCACTGTGAGGACATGGCCTCAGGGATCCATCTGGAAACAAAGACTATGTTCTTCCCAGACTCAGCCTTTGATCTTGGAGCTCATAGACTCCAGAACCAAGGGAGATAAGTTTCTATAATTTGTAAACTATAGGGTTTAAGGTGTGTGGCCTTTTAGCAGTGGGATCAGACAGAGACAATATTCCAGACTATTTTTTAAATCATGTTTCTAAGTACTCTTCTTTTGTCGCATAGGTAGAAATTTCTTCAGAAACATTTCTGCTCTTAAATAACTTAGCCATCCCTATATAGATGTGTTTAAATCAGATTACCTTCCATCATTAACTGTGAACATTAAGGGTTTTTTTTGTTGTTTTTTTGTTTTTGTTTTGCTGGTTATGGGGCTTGAATTTGGGGCCTAGGTACTGTCCCTGAGCTTTTTTGCTCAAGGTTAACACTCTACCACTTGAACCACACCAATATTTCCAGCTCTATGGTAATTAATTGGAGATAAGAACCTCTTTTGGACACAGGTGGGCTTCAAACTGTGATCCTCAGATCTCAGCCTCCTGAGTAGATACTATTGCAGACTTGAGCCACTGACTCCTGCCCTATTCCTTCCTTTTACTGTTTAAATATGCAAAGTGAAAGGTGGTGGCAGTGAATGGATGAGGTGAAAAATGTGCAGTAAATGCAAGCTAGTGATGATATTGTGTTAACTTTGTTTTGTGCTGTGTTATTAGAGAGAGAATCTAGAGATCGCAAGGAAAATGCCAAATCCCAAGAGTCTACTATCTACTTTAGTGGTATGAAAATGAGGCAAGAAATGTTTTCTCCAGATGGTGTGGGATGAGACACAGGTTGAGGGAGTCCCGTTTGTGGGATAAACCTCACTGAAGGAACAGAGAAAAACCTGAGAGTGATGAACACCTGACATGGACCAAGAGAGGGGATGCTAGGGTTTGGACCAAAGGCTACGTGTTGAAGGCCAGGCTGCCAGCCTGGACTGTTGGGAAGTGGTAGAGCTTTTTGGAGATGCGGCCCAATGCAAGAAGTTAGGTCACTGGGAGTATGCCCTCGAGGTGGATATTGGTGCACTGGCCCCTCTGTTCGTTGCTTCCCAGCCACCACGAGGTGAGCAGCTCTACTTCATGTTCTCAACAAGGGTGATGGGTCCTAGTAGACATGGACTAAAACATTTGAAACCATAGCCCAAAATAAGTCTTTTCTCCTTGTAAGTTGATTATCTCAGATATTTAGTCACAAAGGTGGAAAGCTGGCTAACACGGGGAGAATAGTATACAAATGGAACTCGGGGTATGTCCAGTTACTCTGTATAACATTTTGTAGAATTATGTATGAGAAAAAATTAAGTTTATACAACTGTATAGCAAGCTTATATTACATGTAGAAGCAAACTGGGACTTAAAAAGCAAATGATCTTAGAAAGTCACTTTGTGCTTCACTTTGCCCTATAAATTTATGTTAGCTTTCCATGGCTACATAAGCAGCTAACACAGCCTTAACCAGCCTTAACCAACGTATTTATTATCTTCTGGTTCTGTAGAGTTGAGGCAAGCTCAGCTAGATTCTCTGCTTAGGGCTTCAAAATGCTAAGGCTAGTGTGTCTGCAGAGCTGAGTTTGTGTGTGTGTGTGTGTGTGTGTGTGTGAATCTTTGCAATAACATCTTTAGACACATCCCTTTATAATGTTTTATCAGCAGTCTGTACATCCATTATCTGAAATTATCTGACACTTAAGCATCATAGATAGTTTAAAAATACTATTTAAACTAATTTTAGTTTGCCAAGGAGAAATAATTGTTAAGTCTAAGTTAGAGATAACGATTGGGACTGGGCATGGTAGCTCACACCTATAATCCTAGCTCCTCTGAAGACTGAGACCTGCGGGTGGGGTGGGGAATCCATACTGCAAGACTTCATTTCCAACTAACCAGATAAAAGGTAGGCTGGAGGTGTGCCACAAATGGTAGAGTACCAGCTATGTGCAAGAAAACTGACCAAGAGGCCCTGAATTTAAGCCTTGGTTTGTCCAGATTGTTGGTGAAACATTTTGGGATGTACCCGAGGATGTTCTTGCATTAAAAACAAAATGGACCATTGGCTTAGGAAGAAAAAATTTAAAAAATGAAATAAAAATCATAGCATAAAGAATTGGAGTCAGCATGGAAAAGTCAATAAAACCTATCCAGTGCATACACACACATACACACAAAATGACAAAAGATGTCACAGAAAACTTAGAGTGGTATGGTCACCCAAAGGAGAGGGTGGGGACGGACATCGTGGGCACTGTTATTGAGGAGGTCTTCAGAGCTCAGCAGGTACAAACTCCTAGTGGTTCGCTACCCTTGCTACCACGCTTCCCCATGGTGCTCACTGCAACCCTGTTGGAAGAGGAGCATCCTTCCACTCCACCTTTCCTGCTCATTCCCTGGATACTGAACTCTGCTCATTCAAATCCCCCCTTTAACTGAAGTGTGGCTTGCCTTTGGGAGACTTCTTCTATAGCCTTTCATAGTTTATGTGAATGTTAGATCTCATAAAATCCTTCTTTCAGATCTTTAAAACTCCCTTCCTCAAAGACCAAATCAAAGGTACAGAAAATAGATTTGTGGTTCAGTGACCAGGACTGCTGGTAGATGACCTAACTACAAGGAAAGCACAGGAATACTTTCAAAGACATGAAATTTGGGGGATATTTTTTCTCCGTTTTAAAATTATCTTTAGTTGTACAAAGGAGTTGCTATTTAACAAACCAGTTTATGAATATAATATATCTTAATCAATGTCACTCCTTTCAAATTCTTACCCTTCCCTCCCCTTCCCACTCCTTCCCTTACTCATCTTGATTTTGTAAGATATACATTGGATTTTTGTCTGCATTCCCCCCCCCCTTCTCCTCTTCATTTGTCTATCTCTTTCCCCTTGACTTCACTCCATCCCTTTGAGTACCCACTTCCTAGTGTTTTTTATTTTTATTTTTTTGGTGAACTTTTAACTTTGCCATCTTAAGGAATTACACTATATGAATTCTCCCTTGAATCTACTGTATATTAGTTAATATATTTGTATACACTTGCATACCACCCAATGTATTTACTTCTAAGTTTATAAACTACATCTAGCTTCCAGATATAAGTGACAACATACATCTTTGTCAGTCTGGGCCGGACTTCACTTAACATAATTTTTATTTAATGAAAAGAAAGGCGATACAGGGTCTTGCTATGTGTACTAGGCTGGCCTGCAGCTTGAAGTTCTGTTGCTTTGGCATCCTGAGTCAGGAATTATAGGGATCACATTATACATTTGGTTGGGCTGTTAACTGGAGATATGAGGGAAACTTTGCGTCCAAACTCATTTAGAATGCTGCCAGCATCCAGCTTGTGTGAGTGTGTTTCTAGAAATGAGATCTTTATAAGTGCAGCTTCCAGACAGGCGCTACTGTTAGCTTGCAGTGACCTCCTGTACTGCTTACATGGCTCTATAATTCCTCAGGAATTGCACTTCTAACCTTCCTAGTATAATACTGTGAATCTCCCCGATCTCCTTCACACCAGCCAGAGCAAACCATCTGCCTTGAAAGGTCTCACATAATTAGATTTGGCTCACCTGGATGACTCAGGGAAATTCCTTGCATGAAGTTCATATGGCCAGCAACCTTAATCACAAAAATAATTAATTTTCCTCAATATATGACATGTTGTACCAACAGGAATGTCTCATAATACTAACAGTCACAGGAATTAGAATGGGAGTCTTGGGGAATCCTTTTTAGAATTCTTCCTACAACAGTGTTTTTCCAATGACTAAATAAATTCTACTTCTTTATGTCAGAGACATTTGGTAAGAATGACTGACATATGGTATAATCTCTCTGATTAGATAGATACCAGAGGGTGACTTTGTTCTCATTAAAATAAGTTCAGTCAGTGAAGTATGTCATCTGTGATCTACACAAATGCCTTCCCAGTATTCCTAATCATCAAGGCTTGTCATCTGTGATCTATACAAATGCCTGCCCTGTGTTCCTAATCTTGAAGGCTTGTCTTCTGTAATCTATACAAATGCCTGCCCTATGTTTCTTTTATTTTTATTTCTTTTATTTATTTATTTTTTGCCTGTCATGGAGCTTGAACTCTGGGCCTGGGCTCTGTCCTTCAGTTCTTCAGATCAAGGCTGGCACTCTACCACTTGAGCCACAGTGCCACTTCTGGCTTTTTCTGCTTATGTGGTGCTGAGGAATTGAACCTAGGGCCTCATGTATGCAAGGCAAGCCACCTTCCCAGCCCCTGCCCTATGTTTCTAATATTCAAAGTGTTCCCTATGAGGCCAAGTGGGAAGTGACATAACCTAAATGTGAGAATAACTAGATAGTCAGCACATGTGGATTGTTGAGAACTCCCAGGAGTTATCTTGAAAATTTTTTTCAGGGCTGGGAAGGTGGCTCAGCGGTAGAATACTTGCCTTGCATGCATGAAGTCCTGGGTTCGATTCCTCAGCACCACATAAGCAGAAAAAGCTGGAAGTGGCACTGTGGCTTAAGTGGTAGAGTGCTAGCCTTGAGTTGAAGAGCTGAGGGACAGTGTCCAGGCCCAGAGTTCAGCCCCCACATCAGGCAAAAAAAAAAAAAAGAAAAGAAAATTTTTTTTCAAAACCTTTTTATCCCCTCTGTCTTTGACTTGTTTTGTGCTTAGTCTATCATTTCTTACTTATTACTTTATTATTATTATTATTGTTATTATCATTATTGTCAGTCATGGGGTTTGAACATTCAGGGCTTAGCACTGTCCCTGAGCTTTTCTACTCAAGGCTACTCTACCATTTTGAACCACTGTGCCACTTCTGGTTTTCTGGTGATTAATTGGAGATAAGAGTCTCACGGAATTTCCTGCCCAGGCTGGCTTTAAACTGTGATCCTCAGGTCTCAGCCTCCTGAGTAGCTTGGACACCGGACGTAAGCCACCAACTCCTGGCTTCATTTATTACTTTAAAAACATTTTCATATAAAGGAGAATCAAGAGATTTTTTTGTCCATGGATGAAACACATTCTCTTTAGTTCTTAATGTATGTTAAATTTCTCTGGGAAATTATTAGCCCTTGAGGTAAGCAAATGCCATCTCATTATTTTTCTGGTTAAATGTCTCCACTCCTTGGAGTGGCTAGAAATGTGCTATGAGAAAGGCTTAAAATCATATGACTACAGAGATTTGGAAAGAAAAGAGCACTTAGAGCATGGGAGGGCCTACCTGTGGCTCTCAGGCTGCTGTGAGAAAGCCAGTTTTCATTTCTCAGCTCAGTTTTTCCTGAGTAGCTGTATGGCTTATACCTTTTGGACTTCCATACTGGTGATCCTCCATTGCCTTCAGTGTGGCTCTGGCACTTCCCCTCCAGCTTGGATGCTGCAGGAATCTGACTTGTTCATGTGTCTTGACCATCTCACATATCTGATGATAGTTAAGAGAGTTCCTTCAAACAGGCCAGATCCCTTCAAAAATACATGTGGGTTTCTGAGACCATGGAGATAGAATACCAATTTCCAAAATACTATTTTTCATCAGCTATTGAAGAGAACTTTGAAGCAAAACATTGGAGCATGTGTGTTAAAGATGGAGGATGCGTGATGAATATATAAATAAATGACCCTAATAAAAGCAAGCTTGTCCAACATGCATTACAACAACAGGAGATTATAGGAAGTGTAAAGTAGAACACAGGGCTCTTGGGCAGAGCATTGGTTGCCCTAGCTGAAGGCTTTTGTTTATTCAGTGTAATCCGGGAAAGGTATGTCACAAGTCCATCTGGGAAGGTGCTTTAGGGTAGCAAACCACCCAGCCTCCTCTTGTTCTAAGCTGAAGGAACATAGATCACAACGAGCCAGAGGTGGGAGTGATGTGTCATAATGGAAGCACAGCCAGGTTGGGGTATAGAGAAAAAGAAAGATGGACATCTCAGTGGAGATCAGCTCCCATAGGGATGTGCTGGCTCCTTTCCAAATATGGGCAGGCTTTGACAGGAATGATGGCATGATTTGTCTTTAGTTCCAAATTGTCACTGTAACTGCACAGTGGAAAATGGCTGGGTTAAGAGCAAGGGTAAACACAGGGAAGTATTTAAGAAACTATCATTAATCTAAGAGCCTGACATGTAGATTTCTATTTTCACTGAAAAGAATCTCTGGTCTGATGGCTGGGAACAAGTTACCTTCCCTGTGGTTATTGTGTAAATTATACTTTGCTTTCTCTCATACTGCTAGAAGTTACAAAATAATGAAAGAAGAGGCAGGAATTCCAGTTCAGTAAGAATAATATGATAAAAAACAATATATTATAGAAAAATAATAATAAAATATGCCTACTATTTATTGAATGCTTAACATGTCCCAGGCACTGGGTATGTGTTATTTTAATTAATTTTTTTTAAATTTATTTATTTATTTTTTATTGTGAAAATACTGTACAGAGGGGTTACAATTACATGGGCAAGATAATGAATACATTTCTTATCAAGCATTGTAGCCTCCTCCTTTGTTTCCCCTTCCCATCCACCCCTCCCACTCCCCCCTACCTAATCCTCCCCCCCCACTAAAGTTGTAAAGTTCATTTTTGACATAACGACTTGTACTTCTCATTGTTGCAATGGGTCCACCTGTATCCTTATTTAAACGACTTGTTTTTCCCTTCCCCTCCACAAATTATACTGACATCAAATACAGTGAAAGCAGGGGGTATACTGTGGGGGAGGTACATACAAAGCAACAAGGAAATAATCTTATAAATGTGTTAGAAACAAATGCATGAAAGAAAAAAAACATTTGAATACATATCTTAGGGTTCATTTCCCTAACATCACCTTATCTGACCTTTTACATAATCTATTGATCATTCTATTGATGATAATCTATTGATGATAACATTACTAATATTAGATACTAATATTGCTCCATGAGGAAACTGAGGATCAGATAGGTTGTTAGCTAATCCAAAGGGCACAGTGTACGAACAGCAGTGCTTAGAAGAGACTCCTTACAACCTGTTGTGATCTTCCAGGAAAACTTCTCCATGTGGAACCCTCTTTCAGGGCTTCATCTATTTCCAGAGGGATAGCACCCTTATTTTAAAGGCCAAGCTGCTGTTTCTTCAGGAAAAAAAAAAACAACAACAACCCTGAAACAGGCAACCTCAGACATAGCCCTGAGAGAACAACACACTCCTTCTTAGAGCATTTCCAAATGCAGGCATCTTGGAGAAAGGTCGTGAATGCAGGCAGACTAGCTTGGATGTGTTTGTGTGTGTTTATTGAAGTAAGGAGGTCAGGTCTGGCTGGCGCCATATTGGCCACATGCGGGATTGTAGTGTCTGGCATCTTGTCTTCATGCCAGGGGAGGAAACCCTGCCCATCACCCGCCTCCTGGAGGCAGGGGCAGGCACAAGGCTGATAGGTTACTGAATCTGTCAGTCTAGTGCGGACTGGGGATTTCCTGAGAATCTGACCCCTGTGCTGACCTATCTAGGCCAGACAGCCTACACCATGTCAAATGTGTCTCAGTGATCCTGTCCTATGTCCTGTCTCCTGACTCATCTCTGGTCATCATGGAGTCCCAATTCAGCTCTCCATTGAAGCTGAATTGGCTTGTTGGTGTTTTTGTTATTTCTTTCCTCTTTAGCATGTTTCCTACTTGTGTTATATGTATTTGGGGGCTGCAGGCCTCTGTAACAACTGGCTGCCTGCAGCCTGCTAACTGTAAAATAAAGACTCCAGAATTCTATATTGGCTTCTGGGATGATTCACCTTACAACATTATAATCCTTCTCTAGAGAGAAAAAAAAATATTTTTAGAATTACAGGAAGATGACGCATCACCACTAGGAAGGTAGCTTGTTACTAAATCATGAAAGAATCAAATTCAAGTTTTGGTTCCAGGATTCTTTAACAGTGTGACTGGAAATTTAACTTCTTCAAGTCTTCTGTGATCTATAAAGTGAGACAAAACAACTCATCTGATCTCCAAAGAGGTTGAATGAGAAAGTACATGAGCAGCTGCTCTATAGAAGGTAATGCTGGGAAGGAGCCAATAGAATGAGCTCCCATTATTACCGCTCTGTCTCATCTACACTTGTGACCCTTCAAGAGAAGTCAAGTGAACTAGATGAAGTCGGGAAGAGGAGGACCAGAAAAAGTGAGTAAATAGCATGATGAAGGCAGAGGAAGACAGAGGAGACAAGAAAAGAGTGGAGAGGAGAGGGAGAAAGCAGGGAGGAGAGGAGAAAAGAACTGCCTAGCTAGAATGTCATCACTCCTAGCCCCAGCCTTCCAGGCTCCTGCCAGAGCCCCGAGGAAGCCGTAGGGAGCTGTGTACTCTGCATTGTCCTCAAACACCCTCATTTTCACTACCTCATGCCTACAGAGCATTTGATAAAGGCATTTTTCACAAAGGCAGACAGTATCTCGGACCCAGAGTTTAGTGTGGTCATCATTAGTTACTGTCATCATTGCTGGGGGAAGAGCAATTTGTGTGTGTGTACATATTTGTGTATATATGTGTACATTTGCAAAGCCACACCTGTGGAGAGGCAGGTATAAGATTGCTGGGGTTGAGATGAGCAGAAGTGAAGATTCATCCAGAGCCATTATATTGTCTTGTTGATCAGAACTGGTGTCTTTATCACTGAGCAGTTTCGATGAGTATTTTGTAGGACAAACACCAGATTCCTCACTAATAGCCACACTCCTCACAAAACATCCTTCCCGTAGGGAAAGGAAGTGGTGAGCACACCACTGTGGAGATTCATAGACCCTTGGCTCAAACTCACTGCTGACAGCATGGTCACTTTTTTTTGTCCAATTAGGTGGCAAGATAACCCAGCCATGCCCTCGGGACTCATATACGAAGGAATCTCCACCAAACCTCTGCAGTACTCTGGAGGAAGTGCAGCTCAGAGCTCGGTGCTCCATGCACTGGACGAATTCTTGGGCATTCGTCATAGCAAGGAAAGCGGTAATCCACATGTTTTCTATTTTCCCTTTCATGCCTTTCTCAAGAAGAGAGCAAGCAAGAATAGGGAATTTTTTTTTAAATCGATCGATCACTCCAAGCACAAAGTCAGTTGTCAGGAAGTGTTGTGCACTTCCCTAAATCAACCAGGGAACCAACCATGTACCTGCTTCATGTTATTGTGTCGTCAATTTATATCAGAAAAATCAAGTCTCAGCAGGATTGTGAGCTGCATTTCCCCATTGGAAAGCATTGCCAGAATTCCAGCTGTTCCCTGTAATTTTAATTTGGATCCTTAGGCTGTAGCTTTCTGTTTCTACAACAGGAGGGAGATGGGGAATTTGGGGGTTATGGCATTCTGTGTCTGAGACTGGAGACAGTAGGTAGCAGATGTGATCACCCCTACTAGAGCTCATACGATGCTACAATTTCTGGTCAAATCTATGTGGCACCCCAGGTTGGGGAGAGTATTATTTTGGAAGCTTGAAATTGCCCTTTCTTTTACCTGTCAGCATTAGAATTGTGCTTCATTGTTTAAAAAGGGCACTTCATACTGTAAAGGTTTCCATTTGGATAGGTAGAAAACAATTAGAACTTTGTGCCTTGGAATTTGGGCCCACTCGAACCATAGGTCTTCTAGACCTATGATTAATTTTCATGGATTTTTGCATTTGTTACTATTAAGCATTGATTTACCACACGTTGTATTAAACACATAATGAATTTCCAATAAACATTTATCGATTTGATTTTAAACAAATTTGCTTCAAGAAGCTTTTTCTGAGTGGCTCATTCTTTACGGTCCTATTTTGGTATATTCTATAACTTTTATCTTTTTCTGTATTCCCTTCAAAAATAAAAGGACATAGGAAACAAAATTCCTTTTCAGTTTAAGGATATGTGTCCTATATTTGTTCATATCTCTCACAAAGTAGCTTCAGTTAGCAACTAAATGCTCTGTGGTACATGATATTTATACCTTAACCAGGAGATCCAATTCCACTTCAGTTATCTAGGGTGCACTGGCTTCTTTTCTCTCCCATCTGCCAACAGTCAGAAACACTGAAAATCTGGCTTGTATGAGCAGCAGAGCCAGCAAGTAGGTTGAGTTAGAGTACCATCAACTGTTTTCGTACCTTGGTGTGTGGAACAACAGGAAAACTGTTTTGCATTTCCGTACAGAGCTGAGATATCACTCTGGTTGTTTCTTTCAGCTGCCTTTCTGTATAGGATGAGGGACTACATGCCTCCTTCCCACAAGGCCTTCATAGAAAAAATCCACTCTGTCCCTTCCCTGAGGGAGCACGTCATGTCCTCCGGCCTTGGTCAGTGTCTGACATCCTATAACCAGTGTCTGAAGGCCCTGGCAGAGCTGCGGAGCTACCACATTGCCATGGTGACCAAATACCTCATCATAACTGCAAGCAAAGCAAGGAGCAAGAGACCAGCCCACCTCCCAGGACCACCTCAGGCTTTAGAAGGCAGGGGCACAGGTGGCACTGCTGTCCTGAGCTTCCTGAAGAGTGTCAGGGATAAGACCTTGGAGGCCATGCTGCATCCAAGTGGTACAATGCAGAGTCCACCCTAGGGGGACGGGATGGAGAAGAGGGTCAGAGCCCTAGATAGAATAATACAAAAGGGACCACAGCCCTCTGTAGAGTTTTGCTCAAAAGAACTCTGAATTCTTCACTGTTGGAAAGCTGAGTTCCCATGCTGCCTTAGTGGCTCACTCTCTGTCTAGCAGCAAACCACAGTGGACACTTCCTTCTTCAGATACCCATTGGCTGTTCCAAGTAAGAGTGAGCAATGTATTTTTCAAAAACCAAATAAAAAATACCATTGCAACGGACAGATTATCTTACTCTTTTTTTCTTTTCCTGTATCACTAATGAGGCTTGAACTCAGGGGTTTGGGGCTCTTCCTTACTTTGTCACTCAGGCTTAGCAGTCTATCAGAGCTATAGCTCTGCTTTCCAGTGTTTTGCTGGTTAATTAGAGGTCAGAGTCTCTTATAGTGGTCTGTTCAGATCAGCTTCCTTAGTAGATAGGATTATAGGTATGAGCCACTAACTTGCTTGCTTTCTTCCTTCCTTCCTTCCTTCCTTTCTTTCTTTCTTTCTTTCTTTTTTCTTTCTTTCTTTCTTTCCTTCCTTCCTTCCTTCCTTCCTTCCTTCCTTTCTCCCTTCCCTTCCCTTTCCTTCCTTTCACCTTTCCTTCTCCATTTCCTTTTCTCTTTCTCTGTCTTTCTCTTTCCTTTCCCTTTCTCTTTCCCTCTTTTCTCTCTCCTTCTCTTCTCTTTCATTTTGTCTCTTTCTCTCTTTCTGAGACTAGTGGCTCAGGATAGCCTTGAACTTGAGATCCTCCTGTGTGCTGAGATTCAGGGTATATATCACCACATTCAGCCTGTGGAGTCCTTTTAAAAAATGAATTGACTTATTTCACTAAATTTCTACTAAGCTCTTGCTCAGGGATTAGACATTGGCTGGCCCTCCTTTCCTTGTATGTGTTGAGTCTGGTGTCTGGAGGCTGGATGTTCCAGTGGGATATATAAGCAAGAGGATGTTGATAAAAACTAGGAAGTCATTAGTGTGAAAATGAATGGGAACTGATGTTCCATGTCTGTTCCACATGGTACATAGATTTGTAAATTCTGTTTTGATTCTCTTCTTTATTTTTAGAAGATGTTTTTTGTTCTCTTGACACTAGAAGCCTTTACTTGTAAAATGAATTAAGTGACCCTTTGAACATAAAAAAGCCCAAGAGGAATAACTAGAGGTCCAGATGTTGAGTGTTGGAATTAATGTAGCTGTTTATACTCTCTTAGTTTCTGTCTCAAAAAACTCACTCCACTTGATGGGAGAAAACCAGAAAGCTTTTCATTAATTTAAGTTTGCTTCTACTTTTGTACATGTATGTGCACACACGCATGTGCACACACGCACACACACACACACACACACACACACACACACCCCTGAGATAGAATACACCATAGCTCTTAAACAACCCCTCCAGATGTTGGCCTGATATGTTCTAACTGGAAGTGTGTGCAATCTTGTCCTAAGTCTTAAAAGTCTGATTATGTCAACTGCTTCCCATGTTTTCTGGGAGTGTTTAGAGACTCCACAGCCAGCTCAGCATCCCCACCCAGCACCACAGCAACCAACTCCACTCTCCATTGCCTGGGGAAGTGTGTCTTGGGTTCTGTGGGCCTTGGACTAGATGGATAATAAGAAACAAATCTTGTACCAGTGTGCTGGAGAGCTCTTCCTGTCCCCTTTTCTCTGGCCTTGGTGTGGTGAAGATGTGAGAGTATGCATGACAGTGCCAGAAGCTTGTCAGAGATGCTCAGCCATGCCCTCTACTACTGCTCCTTTTCTTCCTGGTTGTGTGGGCAAAGGAAACACTAGTCTAACACAATTCTTTTTTGCCTATGGGTACAGGTCAGAGCCTCAGCTCAAAGATTCAAAATCATGTTTCACTCCACACATTGTGTTTGTGTTTTTAAAAGATGTATTCAGAGCCTCAAAAGCATGAGCCTTTTTGATTTGCTGTGGAAGCAACAGGTCTAGACAGTGCCCCATGTTCCTGAGCCATGGAAGTGTCCTTGCCTCTGTGGAGAGATGGAGAGAGATACAGAGTTTAGGAGCTACATGATGTTTCTACGAACTCTCTGTCATTCTCAAGTAGATCTGACCACAATTTGGATGCTGATTTTCCCATTTTTAAAAAATCTGGTTTTTACTCAATTTCCAAAAGTCATTCATTCTCAGTTTTCCGTTTCTTATAAAATGAGGACAGCCTGTTCTCCCAGTGGATATGAATCACAGAAGAGGTAGCCTGGCACAAACATATTAATAAAAGATTCGTGGCTCACAGTGTGGTGTAGATATCAGTTTGAGTGGAAACACTATTCTTATAGTGTCTGGGATCTACAAATTGGGTGGCAATAGGCTGTCTCTTCATTGTTTAGGGGTGCTGGAAAACAGAATGTGACAACGCATGGGCCAAAAGGCTGGAAAGCCATCTCTACCACCACATTTTACTCACAGACATACTGTTTAACTTCTCAGGGGCGTTTATGCCATCCATGCTCATTCCAAATGTCATCTATTAGGCTATCAATGTCAACTAGAGGAGTTTCCTAATAGCTGTGTGCAGCTGAGACAGACTTCTTTTACTTCTGATAAGGTTATGACGGTAAATGCATGGTAAGTTGAAATATGCTCATTAAACCTAGCCTATAACACAGCCCAGCATAGAAATAGTGCACTGTAGATTTGTTGTTGAGGGCTGACTTGGCTCTACAGTTCACCAGAGCTGACTGGCATGGGACAGAGGATCACATTGCACATTGGTAGGTGAGGAGAAGAGCAACATTTGAAGTTTGTTTTCTGCTGAAGTTCTACTGTTTTACATACCATTATAAAAGCAAAAAAAACCCCAAACCCCCAAAACTCATTGGGCACTGGTGGCTTATACCTGTAATCCTAGCTGGTAAGGTGGATTATAGTTTGAAGCCATCCTAGGCAGAAAAGTTCTGGAGACTCCAGCTCCAAGATAACCAGCAAAAAGCCAGCTGTTGCAGTGGCTCAAGTGTAGTGTAGAGGATCAGTTAAATTAACATCAAGCTGATTTCAAGTCCAAATATGTGCATAAATGCAAAAAAACCCCTAGAGTTCAAAACCCTGTGTTCAAGCCCAAGTCTAAGTAGGGAAGAAAACAACAACTAATTCTAAGTTGGGGACCATTGCAGATGATAGAAATAGCTAAGATGTGATTATGGTGATGTAGCTTTCATCTGTGCTAGAGAGAACTTTGCTGAGCCCTGAGAGCCAGAGATAAGTAAGAACTGGGCAATAAATCTCTTACACAATGAAGAAAAGGAATAACATGACTTCAAAACAAGAAACAAGGGGCTGGGAAGGTGGCTCAGTGGTAGAGTGCTTGCCTTGCATGCATGAGGCCCTGGGTTCAATTCCTTAGCACCACATAAGCAGAAAAGGCCGGAAGTGGAGCTGTGGTTCAAGTGGTAGAGCACTAGCCTTGAGCTAAAGAGCTGAGGGACAGCGCCCAGGCTCAGAGTTCATGCCCCATGACTAACCAAAACCAAAAACAAACAAAAAAGAAACAAAGTGAATCAGAATCAGTGTTTCTGGAGGTCATGTATAGTGAGCAGTGAGGGGGATCTTTGGCTGAGAAGGAATGTCAACTGTCATAGCCACATCAGGCTCTCAGTCTTGGCCTTCAATCTAGGCCTATCCAGCTCCACATGGTGATTAAGATGAACAAGAACCACTGTAGATAGGTAGCTGGTGGTAGGTCCAAGTCCAGTAAAAAAGCCTACAGGGCTTGACACTGATGTTGAAATCTCTGAAAACTTGGATGGAGGAAATGGGGTGGGAAGAGGATATGCCAAATAGCATCTTCAAAGCTCTTGGAATTTTTTTTTGCTGACATTGATATGCAAGGATGAGACCGATGCAAACACAGATCCTTATTTTCTTTGCTAGTGAGCGGCAGTGGGTTGTGGATTGAGGTCATATGTCATGGGGATGGAATACCATTTTCAGCTTTAGGATATAATAGTGCAAGAAAAGTTTCTAGTCTACATGTAACCACACACATTTTCAAGACTTTTTAGCAACAAAATGCAAATGCATCTGTGAAATGTATCACCTAATGGTAGAAATGGCGGTGCCGATGAGGATGACGGTGGTGCTGATGCCGATGGAGATGCTGGTGGGCATGAGTAGCTGGATGGGCCTGCAGGTGTGAGGAAATGACCATGTGGGGGTAGAAGCCCTATCATGGCTAGTGTAGAGACTTTCCTACAGTACAATCTGTTTACTGGCTTAACATTGAGAGGGGCAAAAGGACAAAGATTGGGTAGAGGAGAGATAGTGATGGCATGGAGATAATGTTTCCTTCTTGTCCGAGAGACTCTGGGAACCAGAGACAGGCTATGGAGGTAACAGCTCCTCCTCTTCCCGAAGACCCTGGAAAACTGAGATAAATCCTGGCAAAAGCAACACTCCTGACAACTCTAGAGTAGGTCTGCTCAGGGGACTAGGGACCTTTCCCTTGGGGAGAAGTGGAAAAGACCCAGCCATGTGTCAGAATAGCTGAAACTCACCCCAAAGGGCTATAAGATAGGTACCCTACCAATTTCTATTTTTTTTGGTCCGGTCGTGGGGCCTGAACTCTGGGCTTGGGTGCTGTCCCTCAGCTCTTCAGCTCAAGGCTAGTGCTCTACCACTTGAGCCACAGCGCCACTTCCAGCTTTTTTTCTTATGTGGTGCTGAGGAATCGAACCCAGGGCCTCGAGCATGCAAGGCAAGTGCTCTACCACTGAGCCACCTTCCCAGCCCCTACCTTACCAATTTCTTGGCTCCACTTCTTACGCCCTTTCACCTAGAAATCTGTACTCTCCTTGTCCCCCTCCTCTCACCCAGGAAACAGGTGGACACACACTCACATGGCACAGGCAGGAGAGGCTTTCCTTAGATTCCCCGGCAACTTATTCTCACTTTCACACCAACTTTTCCTCTACTTCCACCTCTGCTGCTTCAAAATTCTTTCTTTATGG